CCTTTTGTATTTTATTCTTATTTTTGCTCTGTCTCTATGCACACTCACAGGGCCCTACACACTACACACACTCATACTCCAACACACAGACAAACACTCACTCTATCATTTGCGCACACACACATAATATGCACCTACATTTATACTGAGTCTACACACACACCCACTCACATACAATCATCATATACGCTGCTACTACTCTGTTTATCATATATCCTGATGCCTAGTCACCTTACCCCTATAGATATCTACCTCTATCGATCCAGTATCCCTGCACAGTGTAAATATGGTACTGGAACTGACCCTGTATATAGCATGCTCACTTACTTTATCGTGTTCTTCTAATTTCTTATTTTTATATTTCATGTGTATTTGTTCAACCTTGTTATTTGTAGTATTACATTGTTATTGATTACTGCATTGTTGGGGTTGGAGCTTGCAAGAACTGTACTTGTGCATGTGACATTAAAACTTGAAACCTGAAACACACACACCTCCCTGAAATCCTAGGATGACATCGCACATTGCGATTACTCATAAAGGCTGTGACATCACACCTCACACATTTCAGTGGCCCTTACCTGCCCCTTTCCCCCTCCATCTTTAGATATGAGACTAAACACATGCGCTCCACTTCTCTGGCATGTGTCTGTTGGTAGAACAGAGATCGAGTGTGAGGTGTGCTTTTTTGACTTGGACACATTGTAATCTTTAACATAAACAAAGTGTGGTCGGGGGCCAGGACTTAACACCCAGCTCAGAACGCCTGCCCAAGCAAATTAATATTTTCATTTGGCTTTTTCGGCTTCGATTCCGAGTCCAATTAGTGAAAATCAAGCGGGAAACGCTCTCCCAAGAGCATTCTCCGGTACTTTTGTTTGCTGTGGTTGTTTGGAAATGTTTATTGGCTGCTCTGTTTCCTTTCCTTCTCCACCTCCTGTTGTCCTCTCCCCACATATGGTCGGTCCCGGCCTCACTCCTTATACTTGCCTGCTGGCCGAGGCTTACATGGCTAATTGCGGCGCCGTGACCCATATGGTGCTACCGTCCATCTCGGACGATGTGTGTCCATCTTCCCCATTCTCCTCTCTTCAGCCCTGGGGAGGGAAGGCATGTGTAGGCCTACCCTCCTCCTGGCTCCTACCAGTCCCATGCCCGGTAGAGATGCTTACACATGTTAGCATGTTGAGGCTAACGTGGGAGGACGTCTACCGGCTCGCCTGTGCTCTCCTCTCCCCTGAACCTGGCTTCCCCTTCTCTGCTGAGCATTAGTCTTTCAGCCCTCTTCTGAAACCCTATCCTCCTTCTCCAGCAACTGACCAAGGAGGATGCAAAACATGTGTCAGACTGGTTGCTTTCCATGTTCCAGGTCTGCGCCAAGCTGCACCTCTGGTTTCGATTTCTTTTAAGCTATTAGCGCTCATGACCTGATAAGGGAGTGGTCAGTTGAACACAAACATCCCTCTCCAAATACATCCGTCATAGTTCTTATGTGTTTGACTTGGGGAATAGTATCTGGTCCTGGATCACTTTGACTGGGGACATAGAGGTGAAATTACTGGGGCATAGCGGTATCATACATTTATATAATTCATGAAAACAGTCAGAATATCATGTATTGCATTAGCAATGTTCTTTGCTCAGTAAATATAACTCTCCTTGGAAAATGACTTGGAAGCCCGCGAGGTTGTTAGGCTATTGCGCAGGAAGCCGACCAGGGGAAACGTAATATGCCGAAGATTGTTTTTGAGGATTACTTGCTCTTAGTTTGATTTGAATAAGCCAAAGTTGTTCACATGCTAGGACTGTCTCCTCAACTTAATTTCCATTAATGTATTACTAGTCAGCAGAAGAGAGTCGTTTACTCTTGTAATGCAGACAACACTGGCAGACATGTGTATCAGTCAAACATCTTTATATGGTGATATACAATCTATTTCATTAGACTTTTTCATTTGCTCTCTGGCAAGACATCAGTTAAGTCTGTGTTGGCAGTTGCTAAGCCATTCAAGTGTTTACCAATCTTAAAAAACATTCTGACACAAGCCTTCCAATAATGCTGTGCACAATGTTGAAATGGGATATTTTACCATTCCATTATACACTGAACAAAAATGTAAACACTAAATGTAAAGTGTTGGTCCCATGTTTCATGAGCTGAAATAAAAGATCCCAGAAATTTTCCATACGCACAAAAAGCTTATTTCTCTCTAATGTTTTGCACAAATTGGTTTACATCGCTGTTTGTGAGCATTTCTCCTTTGCCAAGATAATCCATCCAATTGACAGGTGTGGCATATCAAGAACCTGATTAAACAGCATGATCATTAAACAGGTGCACCTTGTGCTGGGGACAATAAAAGGCCACTCTAACATGTGCAGTTTTGTCACACAACACAATGCCACAGATGTCTCATGTTTTGAGGGAGCGTGCAATTGGAATGCTGACTGCAGGAATGTCCACCAGAGCTGTTGCCAGAAAACTGAATGTAATTTCTCTACCAAAGTCGTTTTTAGAGAATTTGGCAGTACGTCCAACCGGCCTCACAACCATAGACCACGTGTAACCATGCCAGCCCAGGACCTCCACATCTGGCTTCTTCATCTGTGGGATTGTCTGAGACCAGCCATCCGGACTGCTGATGAAACTGTGTCAGAAACCGTCTCAGGGAAGCTCATCTGCGTGCTCGTTGTCCTCACCTGGGTCTTGACCTGACTGCAGTTCGGCATCGTAACCGACTTCAGTGGGCAAATGTTCACCTTTGATGGCCACTGGCACACAGTAGAAGTGTGCTCTTCACGGATGAATCCCGGTTTCAACTGTACCAGGCAGGTGGGAGACAGCGTGTGTGGCGTCGGGTGGGCAAGCAGTTTGCCGATGTCAATGTGAACAGAGTGCCCCATGGTGGCGGTGGGGTTATGGTATGGGCAGGCATAAGCTATAGACAACGAAGACAAATGCATTTTATCGATGTCAATTTGAATGCACAGAGATACCGTGACGAGATCCTGAGACCCATTGTCGTGCCATTCATCTGCCGTCATCACCTCATGTTTCAGCATGATAATGCACAGCCATGTGGCAAGGATCTGTACACAATTCTTGGAAGCTGAAAATGTCCCAGTTCTTCCATGGCCTGCATACTCACCAAACATGTCACCCACTGAGCATGTTTGGGATGCTCTGGATCGACATGTACGACAGCGTGTTCCAGTTCCCGCCAATATCCAGCAACTTTGCACAGACATTGAAGAGGAGTGGGACAACATTCCACAGGCCACAACCAACAGCCTGATCAACTCTATGCGAAGGAGAGGTGTCGCGCTGCATGAGGCAAATGGTGGTAACACCAGATACTGACTGGTTTTCTGATACACGCCCCTACCTTTAAAAAAAAGGTATCTGTGACCAACAGATGCATATCTGTATTCCCAGTCATGTGAAATCAATAGATTAGGGCATAATTACTTTTTTTCAATTGACTGATTTCTTAACATGAACTGTAAGTAAATACAATCTTTAAAATTGTTGCATGTTGTGTTCATATTTTTATTCAGTATAGAAGATTAGAGGGAAAAACAGGCCTTAAACACACACAGTGTCTTAATTTTTACTTGGATCTTTAGTCAGTCAGCAGATATAGGCCTATATGAGATGGTGTGGTGGGGAGACTAGGTTTTAGCTGATGAGCGTAGTAGTGTGTTGAGAGCACAAGTCCAGAAAGCACTAACAAAAGTGATTAGCCTGAGAAATTGGCAGTTGAAAGAAGTGCTTAATACAACATCTCGTCAGAGGAATCATTGAAAGTTCATTTGTATTCTACAATTTTTCACAACACACTTTTCTATGTAAATATCAGGCATTTAGCTACGTTTGGGAGGTGGGAATCAGTGGTCATTTATAGGGGTTATAAAAACCTGTCAGTTCTATACATTTTCACTATACCGGTACATGCCATGAAACAATCAGGAACCGTCTGTGAATCCACTAAAGTTGATTTGAGGGGACCAAATCTGAGGCTTTTGCACTCTCTCTTTTAATAGCTGAGGTCCCCATAGACTTTCTGCACCTGGTGCTAAGAACCTCATCAACGGCCCTCGTATATATGACGTGCCCAAAGGAAACTGATCGTGTCTGACCTCCCATACACCCTCGTGTTCCCTAGGCCTGCCGAGGTCAACGCTAGGTCAATGTGGAGTAATGGCCTGTATGAACGCGGTAACGCGGGGCAGATGCTTTTGTCAGCATCAATCTATTAAGATACTACTCATGTACTGCACTTAAGTACCTGTTCTTGAATTACTAGGAAACATAGTCAGATGCCAGTAGTTTGAGGGAAAGCATGGCATGTCTGCTCTCTTGGATAGGGCTTGATCATGACATAATGAGTGACTGTTTTGGATGATGCAGTGAAACTGAATATCAATTGTTAGTCATTGGCAAGGGTGATGACAAGCACTCACTTACAAATAGTTTCCACTCAGTTCTCTGTTTTGTGTTTACTACAGTTCAACATTACTTGGTCTTCCAAAGTGCTGTAGTATAGTAGGTGCCAGTTATCATCATTCAGAATTACGTTGGTCGATAAAACTAATCATAAACACCTCATTTGGTGATTGGAGTGCCTGGATCCAGTAAGAGTTGGTAGTTGTCTGAGTCCAAATTAGGGCCTTGAGGGAGGCGAGAAAACAGACTGAATTACGTTTTCTATGGCTCATATCCACCTCTATGAACAAAGCAATGTTGCTGTTGTGACTGAGCCGCTAACATCTCATGCGTGAATTCCTTTGTGGAAATTCTTCTTCCTCTCCTTTTGTGAGCCAGGCCAGACATTCCAAAGAGCTACAAAACCGAAACTTCCTAATTGCCGATATTTGTTTACATGAGACACATTGAGAGATACGCTTAGCGTGCAGGTACAGATAAAGGAGAGAAAGACCTTGACAAAGCAGCCTATTCAGAGAAGAATGATAACAAACACACACCTCTTTCAAATATATCTGCCTTTACTTTATTTGTGTACTGTACAGTATTTCATTATTATCTGAAAGTCACTGTTATTCTATATGACAATAATGGCTATCATTTACTATAAAAAGTTGCATAAATAATTTAAATGTGGAAATAAAAAATAAATATGCAGTTCATTTCTTTGAGGCTGCAACGTTTTTTTCCCCCCAACTCCTTTTAGCCAATACGGGTACAATATGTACAATCAAGTTATACATCGCAACTGTACTTATATGACAAAATCCCTTCCAGTTGCTATTTCAAACACACAATTGAACAAGAAGGAAACATTTTCAGTACAGTTTAGAAAACTGAAATCAGGAAGCAATATGAGAGAATGGAACAATGAAATGTGGACAATAAGCGGAAACGTTATGAATATTCTTCATTAAATACAGGCCAGTCCGTAGTAGGGTTGAAAAAGGGGAATGGGTTGTCAGCATGGGCAGACTGGGCATCCAAAACCTTTTCCTGTCTGTCTGTCTTTCTGTCTATTTCTGTCTGTCTACATCCTGCAGGATATCAACAGCCAATATAAAACAATTCAGATTTAGATTCAGTATTTATCTCATTCCTATCTTTCCTGTCAGTGCTATTCAGAGAATGGGGCTGGGAGTCAGAGAATATATTTTTTTCTCCCTCACACTCTAGGTTCACAATTAATATAATAGGGATATGGCTGGTTGGTCGCCAATATTATTTGCTGCTAACAAATAGTTCCAGTCAGTGTGGGTTTAGCGGAGAATGCTGTGCCAGAAGGTAACAACAGGCACAATTACTCCTCCACACGTGGACCTTTTGTGTGTGTGTGTGATTCCTGCAAACAGCAACCAGCCATGTCTAGGGGAAATCCTAAACACAGGAATGGGCTCATTTAGTCATTAAGACGAGTCACAGGAATGCCCAGTCGCCTGTTTGACTGAAGGGACCCTGGTCTTGGAGTGCTGACACAACCATTTCCCTTCTCTTGCTCTCCCTATGCCTATCTCTCCCTCTTTCTCTCTCACAGGGGATCTAGGGCCACTGGGCCAGGGGCCCTAACTGACAGCTCCTGTAAGGCTGCTACGGAGCGAGGAGGGCCCTGGGAGGCTCCTGGTGAGTGAGGTGCTGCCCGGGCTGTCATGAGACTGCGTGGTCTGGGGTCGAGGCCAAGGCCTCTCAGGCCTGTCAGCAGCCCACCTCCAGAGCCTGAAGCCCCAGGGCTACCACATGCTGCTACAGTACAGTACACACAGCCATGGAAGAGATGGATTATAACCAGTTACAGCATAGAGACACCTTTCAACCCTATAGGCCTATCAAGCAGTGGAGCCTGCCCGCTGGATGTTTTCACAGGTGGGTTTTGAGTTTAGGTGCACCTCTTACTGTGGCTAAGGTGGATTCTGCTTGTGCCTGAGTCAGAGGCCGTTATCTATGAACTGGAGCATGTAATCTACACTCCAATCCTAGCAGTGATCCACCTTTCCTGACCAGTCACATGACCTTCCCTGGCATTCTCTGTCGAATCATTTGGTCATGCAAATCAAAAGTTCTGAAATATTTTCGAAAATAGGCTGCAAAATCTACAGTGCCTGTCTGGTGAGAAAGACGCATGTCAAGCTAGTCAAACAAACAGCTTTACAAATCCCTTTTTGTTGAAATGTCTCTTCTTCTCCCTCTTCCAATGAAGGAGCCGTGTTGGGTTGTGTGTAACATGTGCGTATGTATGAGCGAGTGTGCTACTTTGGTCTCTGTCCTTGTATGGAAGGAAAGGAATCCTCAGTATGAGTTGCTGACCAGCGTTGGTGTGTTGCTCTTGCTCCGACTCCCGGGCAGCCGGGTGTGTTTCTTGTTGCGTCTGGGCTTGGGCGAAGAGGAGGCCTCCTTGGCCTCCGACTGGTTGTGGTGGCGGCTGTAGCGCTTGCACTTGCAGGAGGTGACCACGCGGATTTTGTAAGTCCGGCTGTTACCGTTGGGGCACTGCAGCTGCACCCGCTGGGTTCGGGAGTGGGCCGGGATGCAGCGGTAGTCAGAAGCGCTGCTCCGCCACCAGTTGCCGCGCACGATGGAGTTGGGTAGGAGGTGGGTGGGCATGCACTGGCCCGAGCACACCAGCTCCTTAACGGGCTTGGCACTGCGGCAGGAGCCGTCAGTGATGTAACGGGTGGAGCGCAGCTCCCTGCAGCTCAGCTCCGAGGCACCTGGGGTGAAGAGGAGGATATCAAGGTTACATACTCTGTGGCATCACTCCAAACCAAACACTTTGAAGTCGGGCCGATTCGAGGAAACAATCTTCCATTTAACTATTCAAGAGCAGAGAGCTTTGACAGCTGTGTCTCCGTGAGATGTGCTGAATAAATGTGTCAGTGTCAAAAGTATGGTTCCCACTGTGCGTATAATGTTATTTGTTTATTCTAAGAACTTGGTTTGTTTGCATGCGTGGAGCTGGGCTAGGAAATGGAACATGAGTCTGAATTTAATTCATCTGAAATGTTCATAAACTCTTCCTTCCGTTTCACCACTCAGAAAAACATAACATTTAGAATTTCTTAATGCATAGTGCACTTTTTACAAAGAATTTTAACTGTGGGCTATATCATACAGTAATGAAATAAATGCAATGCTGATATACAAATCCAATTCAAAATTAAGGGCTCAGTATAAGGGGGGGGGGGGGGGGGGGGGGGGGGGGGGGGGAGTTACAACTCAACACTAACGTTGATGCATGATCTGATAATGACTGTTGCCTGACAATGGTTGGATGTGGAATTCCAGCTGGCAGCAATCAGCTGATAGCAAATCCAGACCAGAATGCTATTAAACAGCTCAATCAAACATAATGGAGATTTAAGTCGGAACAAAAGCTAAAATACACAAAACAGGCCCTCCGGAAAAAGGATGTGAAGATTGGAAACTTTCTCTAAATGCTTGTTGTACAACAAGTATTTTCATTCCTAAATACAACATTTGACAATTGGAAATGAGCCAAATGAACCAAAGCAATCGAGAGAGCATATTCAGTGCATAATTGGTAACTCAATATTTTGGCCATGGCCTTTTCAACAGCCCTATGCATGAGTTATTGTCCTCTTGTTTTACAAGTGGCATATAGAATGGCAGAGGACATGTCGTTTAAGAAATTATACACTCTGAGACGGATCTGTTTTCTTCTGTGGCTTTTCTATTACAAAAAGGCGAACAAAAGGATTTATGGAAGGTTTACTTTTTTCTCCTCTCAGAGAACCTGATCTGGTGTTATTTTGTGGCTCGGCAGGTCGGGCGGCCACAGCATAAGGGCTCTCCCCTGGTCTCAGGTCTCTCCCAGTGTGCTGACTGCTGAGCCCAGGGACCAGGGAGGGACTGTCCTGGAGGGGAGCCAGACAGAGGTCACCCTCTCTGCCTCAATGACCCCACTGGGACCATGGGAAGAATAATGGGAAGATATGGTCCTCCCAGAGAGAGGCAGATATGCCTATGAGGAAGATCCCTATCACATATGACATGACCCAATAGATTATTATTTCTCTCTCTCTCTCTGTTGATGGATATTGCTCAGTATAAGATATTTAGAAAGATGCATGTTCTTCCAACCCTACCAGGTGTAGGATCTTAATCTGATCACCCTGGTGCAGGAAATTTAAAATGTATAGTGTTTGAGGTTTAAAAAGCCTTCTGAAGTTTGTAATTTCCACTTTGACATTTCTGACTTGATTTCCCCTTACGAAAAATGTATCACCCCTACAAAAATGCTAATTAATTATAATCTACATTAGAAATTACATTTCCTGTTGCTGCAGGATTATTTTCCTGCTGTAGCAAACTGTCTCAAATTAAGATCCTACTTATGTATCTGTTGTTTATGGATTTAAAGTATTATGTTAAATTGATCACATCCATCATTACAGTATTTTATATCCTAATCACAACATTTGTAATTTTTACTCTATGTACAACTTCTATTAGATTTGACATGACATGATTAGATAAGGGGAAAACTGGGCAAGAATGATATTGTGCATCTTGAATCCATGAGACAAGGCACTCAGAGATATTTCCTCTGTACAAATCAGCATGACTACAGCATAACCTTTACTGGCCACAGGTGGGACTCATTCTCTATCACAGTGTTGCAATTTCCAAATACCCTGAAGAAATCCCCTAAGAGCAGAAACTCTTGGATTTTCTATTTGGACACATGTTGTTGCAATTAAATAGTTATGGCATAGGCAGACCTTGACTAATTAGTTGTATAAAAGAGAGGGAAATAGCACCAAGGATAGAGTGAAAACCATGATCTCTTATAAGTGCAGCTCTTCAGATTGTGTGAGGATGAAACCACAGGCATATTATGTGTCTGTGACATGTTGCTCTCTCAGCCTTGGCATAGCATTCATCTAACCCCAATCCTACTTCCTCCATTGAACAGTACAGATGTTCCAGTCTAAACACCAGTGTAAAGCATCAGCAGGGAAAGCTGCAATTTAAAACAGCCACTGAAGGTTGACTCTTTACCCATGATTTGATATGAACTATTCTACATACAGAAACTAGCACTTCTCAGCACTTTCATAAATTAAATGAGAAATTATTCTGGGTGGTCTTTGGAGGATTTATTTGGTTATTATTGGCATAATGATCTACATAAACCACACAGGTGAGGTATCATTATTCTACAGAGACTATAGGATACATTGATATTTTCATCGATACTTTGCGCATGTTTTATGATTAAAAGGACGTGTGTGGTCTTGCAAATTGACAGAAACGAATTAACCCGTGCGTAAAGGATGACACGCTATCCTGAGAAATGAGCAGTGCGCTCTCTTTGAACAGTGCTGACGGTCCAATAACTCGGTGCTTGAAAAATAATGCCTTATCTATCTAACATATATAACATGACAGATTATTAGATATTGTCAAAACGACCCCGTTTACCATAAAATGAAAATGCAATTTTTTCACCAAATGATTGCGCATATTATGCACGAGAGCATATTGCACATAGATCTCCATGAGATATTAGCACTATTCCACGCAGTTTATTTTAAACTCTTCGATTTGATATAAGTAGCCTACTAATAATTCAAACTATGTGTTACAGTAAAATTCGAAGGAAATATTAATTAGATTGATTAAACAAAATCCCAATGTATTCCATTAAATTGATTAAAGACTATCCATACAGATACATCGTTTCTCTATACCAATCTCACATAATAGGCTACGGGTGTTTTACATGTTTTACAAGTAATGCAAGTAATTATTACAAGTATTCATAATGCGCCCCGAATATGGACATGTAACACATCCTCTATTCATTTATAGCTCTGTAGCCTACCAGATAACGTAAAAATAAATACTCACTATAGGAGGCTGTGTTTGCTGATGATCTCCTTCCCCCGTGTTTTGGTCGATTCATTGTATTACTGTTATTATTAGAAGCCTGTAGTATTGGTTCCTCGGGAGGATGTATGTCTTCAGTATATTCTGGTACGATCTCTGTAGCATCGTTTTTTAGCACCCTCCATCCTTGCACGAAGGTACAACATCCCTGTAGCAGCAACAGCACGGTGCTGGAGACAAGGAGCGCGAGAGACACCTGCATGCTTATCGATCTGCGGAGCTGGAAAAAACGATGGGTAAGATGCGCTCTGTGACAAGTTGACCAACTCCACCCATACAAGAGACCTTGATGCTATTTAAGTACCCCAGCGTTCGTCATAACGGACAATTAAGCGCTTACACGAAGTGGGAGGGATCCAGCCCCAGCCAAATTCATTGAAACTGGAGAGGTGCATGTGCGCGCGCAAAGAGAGGTGCGTGCGGGTTTGGGTACAGTACGTTGGTACCTCTGGCTCTGGTCTCTTTGAGTTCCTGTATTGCCGCTTTTTTTCCTTCGTGATTCATGCACTATGTATGTGTCTCAAAAGTGTTCCAGTTGTTTTGATGTGGTTTTGTTTGGAGTGTTGCAGGGCGCAGTCGGGAAGACCATTTAATGATGTTTTATGACGAGGCTGCTTCCCTCTCCATCATAGACAATGTGTTTGATAGCTGGCGCAATGTTGTGTAGTAAAAAAAAAAATGAATAACTGGCCAACAATGAATTGTGAAATTGTGAAATTCGTACACTGACAGGTCGCAACAGTCTGTTTTATTGTATTTATTTTATTGTTGTTTATTGTATGCTGGTGTATCTGCTTTTGAATTAATAGACTATTGACCAACTTTATACATGTATTGCACAGTCATAGACCACTGAAAAAGTATCTATAGAAATACAACACCATTCATCTTCAAACAATCTCATTAATTCATTATCCCAATTTTTTCACTGAATTTTTTGATTCACTTAGAAGTCCCATCCTGTATAGTGTCTGGTTTGAATAATATAATTAGGATGGAAAAGCTGGACCCAGAAAATTCTTGACATCCTTGAAAATCACAGCCTTTGGATTTGCTGAGGTGTCATGCCCAATAAATAATATATCCTATAATTATTAGTATTTTTTTTTAAATTAATTTTTCAGATGTTAAATTAATGACTAAACTTCATGTTTAAGACCAAGTTTTATCATAATTATTTATATAAAAAAAAGATCTGTCAGCGGTATTTTACAGAGGGGGCACACTGACTGGACCAGGCAAAGAGTACCCACCTATTCTCCCTAGTAAGTGGTTCTTTCCAAGGTGCAACACCGAGCAAAGATAGCTAGGGAGGATGCTGATACTCTAGTGCATGCAGACAGTATCATCATCAGAGGAGGAGAGAGTGTAGAGTGACACAAACAGCATTTGATTTGATGTTAGCTGCCAGTGATGGGAAGGACTCAAAAGGGGGAATGTTTGTATATTAATTTGATCACGCTACGCTACACGACCAAAAGTATGTGGACACCTGCTAGTCGAAGATCTCATTCCAAAATCATGGGCATTAATATGGAGTTGGTCCCCCTTTGCTGCTATAACAGCCTCCACTCTTCTGGGAAGGCTTTCCACTACATGTTGGAACATTGCTGCGGGCACTTGCTTCCATTCAGTCACAAGAACATTAGTGAGGTCCGCTACTTGATGTTGGGCGATTAGGCCTGGCTCTCAGTTGGCATTCCAATTCATCCCAAAGGTGTTCAATGGGGTTGAGGTCAGGACTCTGTGCTGGCCAGTCAAGTTCTTCCACACCGATCTCGACAAACCATTTCTGTATGGACCTCACTTTGTGCACGGGGGCATTGTCATGCTGAAACAGGAAAGGGCCTTCCACAAACTGTTGCCACAAATTTGGAAGCACAGAATCGACTAGAATGTAATTTTATGCTGTAGCGTTAAGATTTCCCTTCAACGGAACTAAGGAGCCTGAACCATGAAAAACAGCCCCAGACCATTATTCCTCCTCCACCAAACTTTACAGTTGGCACTATGCACTGGGGCAGTTAGTGTTCTCCTGGGATCCGCCAAACCCAGATTAGTCCGTCGGACTGGCAGATGGTGAAGCGTGATTCATCACTCCAGAGAACACGCGTTCTCTGGAGTGATGAATCACGCTTCACCATCTGCTCCAGAGTCCAATGGCGGCAAGCTTTACTCCAGCCGACACTTGGCATTGCGCATGGTGATCTTAGGCTTGTGTGCGGCTGCTCGGCCATGGAAACCCATTTCATGAAGCTCCCGGCGAACAGTTCTTGTGCTGACGTTCCTTCCAGAGGGAGTTTGGAACTTGGTAGTGAGTGTTGCAACCGAGGACAGATAATTTTTACGCTCTACGCACTTCAGCATTCAGCGGTCCCGTTCTGTGAGCTTGTGTGGTCTACCACTTCGCGGCTGAGCCGTTGTTGCTCCTAGACGTTTCCACTTCAAAATAACAGCACTTACAGTTGACCGGGGCAGCTCTAGCAGGGCAGAAATTTAACGAACTGACTTGTTGGAAGGTGGCATCCTATGATGATGCCAAGTTGAAAGTCACTTAGCTCTCCTGTAAGGCCATTCTACTGCCAATGTTTGTCTATGGAGATTGCATGGCTGTGTGCTCGATTTTATATACCTGTCAGCAACAGGTGTGGCTGAAATAGCTGAATCCACTAATTTGAAGGGGTGTCCACATACTTTTGTATATATAGTGTATTTAGCCTATTGATTCCTTTTTGATGAATAAATAAAACAAAAATGTTTTGTTGTTTCTCTGTAACACTCAACCTGGTCTCAGAGCATTTTGTATTATTCTGTACATAAATCCGAGACACTCCATTTAGCTATGTTACGTTTGGTATGGTGTGTATTAATTTGTCCATCACCCATTTCGTATGATATGTTACGAATTACAAATCGTATTATATGTTACACATTTTGTAAATGAACAATATGTTATGAATTTGCCAAATAATTATGATATGTTACGAATTCTAACTAGGTGGCTAGTTGGCTAACATTAGCTAGCTCGCTAACATTAGCTAGGCTTGGGGTTAGGGGTTAAAGTTAGGGTTAAGTTTAGGAGTTAAGTTAAAGGGTTAAAGTTAGGGTTAGCTAAAAGGGTTAATGTTAGGGTTAGAGGAAAGTTTAGGTAACATGCTAAGTCGCTGCAAAGTAGTATGTAGTTGAAAAGTTGCTAATTAGCTAAAATGCTAAAGTTGTCCGTGATGAGATTCGAACTCACAACCTTATACGCCCACCCATCCACCCAGGCCAACCACCCTACTTTCGTTTTTTGCCTTAAGTAACCTTCTGTCTTATGTAACCATACCAAACGTAACATATCATACTAATTTGAGTGTCCTGGATTTAAAAAATAAAAAAATAAAAAATGCCATTTAGCAGACGCTTTTATCCAAAGTGACTTACAGTGCATACATTTTTGTGTATGGGTCGTCCCGGGGATCGAACCCACTACCCTGGCGTTACAAGCGCCGTGCTCTACCAATTGAGTTACAGAGGACAACCATTTACATTTACTATGTTATGTCTAGTCTATGAGACCAGGCTGAGTCCTGGGGAGCTAAATGTTTTGTTTATGTGGCTCAGACGTTTGTTAGTCTCCTATAAAATAAAATATCCACCTATCCTTTCTCACTGCTGGCGGCCCACAAGCTGGAGAGCATCTGATTGTTATTCAGGGCCTCGGCTGCTATCATGATAAAGCAGTAAAAAAGCACTGGAGCCCAGGTGTTCTATTCAGAAAGCCAGGGAGTTCTAAAAGGAATACCTGGGATAGGATAAAGTATTCCTTCTAACCCCCCCCCCCCCCCCCCAATTGTAAAGTGGTTATCCCACTGGCTATAGGGTGAACGCACCAATTTGTGAGTTGCTCTGGCTAAGAGCGTCTGCTAAATGACGTTAATGTGCCCTTGAGCAAGGCACTTAACCCTAATTGCTCCTGTAAGTCGCTCTGGATAAGAGCGTCTGCTAAATGACTAAAATGTAAATGTAAATGTAAATGAGGACTGTGAGTGACAGGGATAGAGGGAAGGTAGTAATCAGAGATGTCCCTGTGGTGAACACGGGACTGTTCTTCCCCAGCGCGATGACAGAAGGGAAGACATGGAGACACATGGACAGAGTCTAAGGGAGAGCTGTGTCCAGTCCACTAAATCACTGTGCCAAAGCTAGAAGCTCATCAGCAAAGAGCATGATCTCTTTTTGACAGGTTTAGGGTTAGGGTTACAACAATTACAACAATAATGAATCATCTTTATCCTTTATCATTATTGGCATGGTTTTGAAGCCGGTTGGATGGCTCCCTTTATTCCAACACTGATGTAGGGTTTCAATAAGCCTGAAGCTAGAAGGAAACCATCAAACATCGCATTATGACCATAGCTCACTTCCCAAAATGAATAGGAGAGGAGACAATGTGTCATGAATAGTACTATTTTACCAGAACATGTGTAAAAGTAAAAAATGTCATGCAACGCACCCTGGGTGGTCTGTCTGTGCATCTCTGCTGTGTCCTCAAAAGGATAGGAGAAAATGTCTGTTTGATCAAAGGGCAGTCATAATCCTATCTGCTTCCTCTGAACAGTTTATTTGTTTATTGTCCCTCAAGAGGGCAGTATTTGTACAATGGAGCCTCCATCTTTAAGCACTTCCAATCAGGGGCATCATGCACCAATATTTTAAAGGGGGCACTTGGGTAGGGGTGGGGTGGGGGGGTCCGGAAGGGGGGCTCGACCCCTTCTGTAATTCGGAGAATGTAGAATTTTTCAAACACCAGAAAAGGTTATCTTAGCATACCTCTTTACCTGTTCAATTGTTATTTTAATTATTGATACACATTGATTCTTTAAGAACTTTTCTGCCTTAGGAGTTTAGTACAACTGCCACATAAAGTATAGAGTTATGAGGTTGGGAGATTGGGAACCTATCTAGCTGGCTAGCTAAAGCCATCTTAATAAAAATTGCCAGGTGACTAGTATTACAACCTGGTCTCAAAGCATTTTGTATTATTCTGTACATAAATCCGAGACACTCCATTTAGTATGATATGTTACATTTGGTATAGTTACATAAGACAGACGGTTACCTGGTCAGGGCGGATGGGTGGGCATATAACGCAAACGTCTAGCAACCTAAAGGACAACTTTAGCATTCTAGCTCATTAGCAACTTTTCAACTACTTACTACTTTTTAGCTACATTGCAACTACTTAGCATTTTAGTTAACCCTTCCTCTAATCCTAACCTTAACCCTTTTAGC